GACGTCGAAAAAACTATAGAGATTTAGTCATCCAGCTTATACAAAAAGGAGATTTGGACGTCTGCGGAAAACTTGGTAGATACCTGAACTTCTAGAGCTCTAGGGACATAACAGTACCTGGGTTTATGAAAAATCTTCTGAATTTCTTAAATTAAAACGTTAGTATTCCATTTCGCCTCGATTCCGCGTCTCAAACGAGAAGAAAACGCGCTCCACGTCACCTACCTCGCGCCGCGGTGAGGGCGCGAATTCCTAAAGTTATCTTTCATTCTTTGATTTTCTGGCTTCGTTTCTTGCTTGCCTTTTCGATCTTAGTTTTCCTTCCTTCTTAGGCTTACAAATAGGAATATGGGAAGCTGACAGCCTCTAATTAAGCCTGAGGGGAGAAGAGGAACTCAACTCCCCCTCAGGCTTAGCAGAAGGGTGTTGATCCGCAATCGTTATTGCTCTCTATAGAACCTTGTCTGTTTATTGGCACTGGATAACAGATTGAACTAGATATTTCAATCGTCGTAGGGGGGGGTCGTACTGACACCCCTTGAAAGGAGGGGGTCGTAAAAAATTTGGGAATTGCGCAACGCAGGGTTGACCCTGCCTTGGAGGAGCAGACGAATAGAGCTGTGCGCCTACGTGTGGCCCCCTCCAACTACGCCGACATCTTAGGATGAACACAAAAAACTTAGGAAGAAGTAGAGCATGCGCAAAAACTGAAAAGATCAGTGTGGCACACATAGTTGCCACAATGCCCTACATGGACTGCAAATCGTGGCCTACACATAGACCGCGCTTGCGGGTCAACGGTGAAAAAGAGCGGTGCGATGGGAGCGAGTGGAGTTGCGACCGTTGAGTTGGGAGAGTGACGAGCCGTGAGGTAATCGCGATTGCGAGCGCTAGGTTAACGCGATGCTGGTGTGATGCACTTTGGGAGGGGAAGGAGGGGGATGCGGTTGGCGCCCATTTCAAAAACGCCAGGAGCCATGTGGAGCGTGCGTTAATCTGCAGTGTTGCCCAGTACTAAAATACGAAGCGGGCACCGACGAAGAAAAGAATAAAAGTTCCCGCAGAAGATGGTCCACGCAAAGATAATAGATCGGCAACCATCTGCACCATCGCTTCCCTCTCCCTTCGAACAAGTCGAAGCTTTCTTCTAATGCTCCTCTCCACTGATAGATATCACGGAAAATGAAAGAGAAACTGTCTTGTATCTGCTAACACTTTGAAAAAAGGTATGCATGAAATGATGTCAAAGCGCTTCTATGTTTTGTAGTCCATCCTGAAGCAATGACAATTTGTGTGAAACAGCAACTTGAACCAAGGCCGATACTTCCGAAATTCGCCACTTTCGCTCCCTTGAACAAATTAACGATGCCTGACTTTTGTTTCAGGACCGGCCTACTTTTGAAAAAGTGGAATTGAAATCTCGTCAGTCCTCTATTGATATCCAAGAGATAGGTACTTGGAAATAGAGTGATTTATTCAATATGCAGACACCTTGAATATACATGTACGACTCCAAGAAAATATGAAACAAAACGGGAAGAAAGCAAAATTTGAAAGCAAACGAGAATAGTCGGATTGTATAAGCAATGAATCTTTGTTGAATACAGCATAAGTAATGTGTTTGCATAATAACTAAATGTACTAAGGAGACGAGAATAGGGAAGAATAACTAGCCGATCAATAAGGGTAGTCAGATAATGTATACTTCCTTGCAAAGATTATCTGTTAATTTTATCTGTTGATCAATGTATAGCTTGACTAAAACACAGTAGTATAGGGTCTTCTTTTTCGGGCCACGTTGGCCTCCATTGCCCTCACAGAAGGATTGCCTCTGCGACATTTCCTTAGAATCGGAAGCTCTTAGTCCACTTGAGAAAAGGTGTTGCATGTTTCTCTTCAGGTTTTTAACTGTTTTGCGATAATCACATACGAAAATCATTATCGCAATTGGATCGATTACAGTGTAGATCGACACTACCAATGGCGTGAAGGCGTAAATTCTGAACACAAGTACATATATAACAGATGAGCACATTCATGGTAATAGACTTCATTCATATTTTATACGGTTTCCACCTATAGCTGGAATCAGTATGAGCGCTGGAAAGAAGACTTTTCTGCGCTTGAGAGGATGTACGCTCACCATCAATTGCCTTCTTTGCAAGGAAGACTAATCTTTCTGCGCAGAAAGTTCCCCTATCTCAACTTAGGTGCCTCCTCTTTTTATTAGGTTTTTACATTATAAATGTCGCGCAGTTTTACTCTCCCCACTAAGCAGCTTGTGAATCTCCAATGGTACTTGTGTATTCTTCCGGAAGAGGACATTGAGCGGTGTAAGTGACTACTTTTTAGCTACTTCTTTCTGTTTTTCATCTGTTCTTGTCCTAATAATATCTACTAAATGACAGCTAGTATTTGTCTGTTGCTGGTGTTTGAGCCGGGAAGTTGATACGCTGGGCACGTCAGACTTTCGTCAGAAGTTACTATTTCAGGATATGGGTGCTGGTGGTACGGTGAACATTATTTTGTGGGGGGCACACGGATTTGATAACACAATACGGACTGAATACGCGAGCAGCAATCAGTGCTTGAAAATGAAGCAGGTTAGCTAGAAGCTGTTGTAATAGACTGCTGCGCGATATAAAAAAGTTGCATTTCGTTTGCGGATGTCATCGTCTACTCAGACCATTCAATCCCGCTAACCTACTTGACTGATTCTTCTTTAGGATACTGACGTTGTTTTTGAAAATACGATAAGTATGGGGTTTCCTGTTTCAATGTCACCGGTATAAGAAGTCATTCCGACCGCTCAACTATCGCAGGTGCAAAAAATTATAGCTGTTTACGCTAATCACCTGTATCACCTGTCGTCCCGTTGATCGTCGATTTGCTCGAGCGGGCGCCAGCAACGTCTCCATTCGTCCCTGTCGCGTGCTAGGGTGGTCCAGTGGATCCTCCTTGCTCGAGGGACACGAAGTCCATCATTCCTTTCGTTCAGAGCTTTCGTGAAGAAGTCTGACCATCGGGCCGGCGGTCGTCCAGGTGTTCGTTTGACGTCCCGAGGGATCCAGTCGGTAACTTTCGTCTTCTGGTTCCATTTTAACGGTTTTCATATCCCGCAAGATTCGCTATTTGACGTTGTCGCGGCCCACCTTATTTATCGATTTCCTGGCCGGAATTACTCTGGCATTTGGCGTTTTTTCTCTCTGTATTCTTGCCGATCTGTTTGTGCTGTATTTCAAATCTTTTTTTTCGTCCGGATTCCCCTTCTGCACTTGCGTGTATAGGGTTACTCCTAGCATCGTCCTCTCGACAGCGCGTTGGATAACGCTGACCGCATGCTCGTCCTGCCTGCGCAGAGTCCAAGTCTCTGAGGCGTAGGTTAGGGCAGGAAGGACAGCGGAATCGAAGAGGTGGGCACGGAGCCGGATGTTCTTCGTCTTCTTCACTACTCCCTCGATGTTCTTGTACGCTCCCCAAGCCGCTCGTTTCCTCCTGCTCAGCTCTGGAGCTAGATCGTTCATCATATTGATTTCCCGACCTAGGTACACGTAGCTGGAGCATTCGGTGATGTTCGTTCCGTTGAGCGTGAATGGGGCATCAGAAACCAATCCGTTTCTCATAAACATCGTCTTCGTTAGGTTCAGCTGTAGACCAACCTTACCACAGGCGCAGTCGAAATCAGCCAGCATTCGCTCCGCTTGCTCGATGTTCGGCGTTATAAGAACGATGTCGTCAGCAAAACGAAGGTGGTGTAGTTGCCGGCCGTCGACCTTCACTCCCATGTCTTCCCATTCCAGTTGACGCATGACGTTCTCGAGAGCGGCGCTGAAGAGTTTGGGCGAGATGGTGTCGCCCTGTCGGACCCCTCTCTTGACGTCGATGATGACCTCCTTGTAGAATGGTGAGATCCTGGTCGTAAAGTTGCTGTAGAGCTCACGAAGAATCTTGATGTACTGAGTAGGGACGCCCTGGTTGCCCAAGGCTTCGATGACCGCTTCTGTCTCCACAGAGTCGAAGGCCTTCTTCAAGTCGATGAACGTGAGACAAAGCGGCATCTTGTACTCTCGTGAAACTTCAATGAGTCTCGTAACCGTGTGGATATGGTCGATCGTGCTGAACCCTCTTCGGAACCCTGCTTGCTCGCATGGCTGTCCTTCATCTAGTATTCTGCCGATCCTGTTAAGGATGACTCGAGTGAATAGCTTGTAGATTACAGACAGCAGGCAGATTGGGCGATAGTTGCCAATGTCGTCCAAGTCTCCCTTCTTGTACAGCAACACGGTCCTGCTGGTTTTCCACGGAGTGGGTACCTTGCATTCCGACAGGTAGCGCGTGAAGAGTCGAGCCAGAGTTTTGATGATAACTGGCGGTGCGTTCTTCAGATGTTCCGGTTTAACCCTGTCGAGACCGGGCGCTGTACATTCTTCACCGACTTGATGGCGTGTCGGACTTCGGAAGAGAGAACTGAAGGGACAACGTATCCATCCATCCTCTTGCGGTTGATAAGTAGGCAGATGGACATGGCTATCGAAGAGATCCGAGTAGAAGTCGTGGATGACTTTCTCCATTGCCCTTCGGGATGCAGTAGGAAAGCTGTTCTGCCATCTGGACTGTCGAGGTTTACGACTACATGGCTGAAAGTAAGCAGCGGTATGTGTCATATCCCAGCTTTTCGCTGCTACGACGCAAGCTTAATTTTCAAAAGAAAATAAGTGATTTCGCGGTCAGTTTTATGAACGAGCTCTCGGATGACTGCTTTATCACCAGTACTATAGCAACCATTCTTCGATAACATCGCTCTGGCCCATCAAAAGCATGCTTTGACACATGAGCCCGGCTATGTTCATTTTTGTACCGCCTACTTTGACATTAGCACGTTAGCGGAGCCAAACTGATGTTTCCGTATCTCTGTACTACTCACCGTAGCGGCTGAAGTCCCATGATGACACTGGTGTACATCACGATACGTGATAAATATGAAGTAAAAAATGGAATTATTGCCTAAAGCGAAGCTTTTGAAGAAAGGAACCATGAGAAAAAGTAGCGGTTGGAAGAACTTGTCGAATTAATGAATCACCTGGAATAATCAGTGCCTTCAACAGTCGCGTGTGCAGCTTCCTCGATTTTTGACTCATGGAAGATCTCTTCAGTGCTCGGTATATTTTAATTGCGCAAATTACCATAACGGCAAATGTGAATATCATCATAGCAAATATTATCCCAACACCTATAGTGGATGACCAATGGATTATTGTTATATCGTCCTTCACTTCCTGGAAAAGGGGAATTCATTTTTGACTGGCTATAATTTTCAGAACGGCCGCCCAAAGCTTACGTGAGTAAAGATGCAGAAAAAGGACAGTTCATGAGCGTCCTTCCCGAATTTTGCGCGAACCGATGGGTTTGCATAATTGTAGTAGTCGTTGGTGGCCGCAAAACAATAGAAAGTAATAAAGCCATACACACAACCCCAAGAGAGTACGGATAAGATCACAAACACAACGGAAACTGTGTTGTGAAATATACTCGTAAGTTGCTGCCTGAAATTGATTATTACGGAGGTTTCCTGAGAGAAACCTTGTGTCTGTTCCTTGTCTTATTCACTCCTGATGCTCTTATGGAAATGCTGCCTTCACTTGCGCACCTACAGGGTGGGGCAAAATTACTGGTGCACTAAATTTTCAATGGCATTTTGACAATAATTCTCACAAATCAATTCTAATTATCAATATTATTTACTACAAACATGACAATACAAAAAATGTTAATGCTTCTCAAAATGATCTCCTTTAGCCTTCACACAGTCCTTCAGACGTTCGACAAATGCTTCGCATGTGGCACGCAGGTACTGGTCATCGATTTCGTCCCAAGATTTTGAAAGCGCCGCCTTAAGAGAGTCCAAGTTTGGATGTCTGGTAGAACACGCTTTGCTCTCCAAGATGGACCACACAGAGTAATCCATCGGGTTTAGATCAGGAGAACTGGAGGGCCATTCGTCGTGTCTGATGAAGTCGGGCAGGT